TTATATTAAAAAATTTCTTCTTTTCTTGTACATATATATTTTAAATTTTCTTACATTTATTATTATTTATATATTACAATTACAATATTATATTATATTATTTTATAATTATTTTATAATTAATATAATATAATTAATATAATAATAATATAAACTACATTTAATATACACACATAATATAATATATTAATTCTTAAAAATTATATAAAGTAATTATTATAATTATAACATAAAGCAAAAGTCACCCAGAAAAAGAAAACTAATTCGATTATTATATGAACTATAAATTCTACTATTTACACCAAAGTATTTGTATAAAAAAGTATGTTAATTAATCATCTCACGTTTTTTGAAATTTATATACAAACCATCTTCTACATATGTAAAAAGATGTAGCGCTTTAGCATTTGAAACATTTTTTTCATAAGAAACAAAGTAGTTAGAAAGAATTATAATTAGTGGCACTTTTGTAAGTGTTCGGGCCAGTCTTTGTCCTAAAAATTTAAAATAGCTTATTAAATAAATGTAAATATTTCTTTCATACGCAGAAGACGAAAAGAAGTAATTACAATATATATCTTTTTAAATTATTTTTTATAACTAACCTATACATGCTCGAGGTCCAATACCGAATATCATATTTTCATAAAACTTATTGTTTTCTATTTCTATTCTCAACGGGATAAATTCTTGCGGATTGGAAAAATTATTAGAATCATAACCCATTGCACTTACACAGATGTATATCGAAACATTTTCTTCGATTATTAATCCGGTATTTGGCAACTAAAAATAAAATTATGTACATAGAATGTGTTAACTTAATTATTTTAAATTATTCCAAAAGTGAAATGTTTAGTATTCTATTTGATAAATAGAAATTAAAAGTAATTTTATTAAGGTGCCTTTCACGCTGACGCTTGACGCTCATTTTTAGCATCAAACTAGATCATGTGATAAAAAAATGACTATTTACATTTCACTATTTTGTATTAATTTTGATCACGTGATCTAGTTTGACATTGAAAAATGAGCGTCGAGCATCAGTATGAAAAAGCATCTTTTTTATATTGATGCTCGACGCTCATTTTTCTTGTTTTTATCGACTCTTGATAAAAAAATTAAATGTCGAAAGGTTACTGTTTATGTATAGACAAGTATAAACTACGTTTCCTTATATACTTATGTAATAAATTGCATATGTAGTTTCTATAAATAAGGATGTTAAGAGAAGGCAATACAAGGTCCAAGGTTGCAATTCTTAACTGTCTAGTTAATGAGTGTCTAGTTAATGAGAAGAATAGAAAACATGATATATTATATTTCTCATTTAAGACAATTTGAAACATTTAATATATTCTTCTTTTCTAAAAAAAAATGATTAATTGGAATAATTGAGGCGACATTAAAATATATTATCGATTGATCGTAAATATATTAACATACATCTATCTTACATTATAATCCAAGAAGTGATACTTTGTAACAATCAATTCATTGTTATATATAAAATTGTATTAATTACCTTGTAATTTTTCAGAGCTGTTCTATCAACAACAGGTAGTGGAGGATGCAGTCTTAACGCTTCGGTTATAACGCGATCCAAAAAAGTCATTTTATTGATTAAATCTATAGTCAATTCTTTTCCAGATAAATGTGTTTGTATTTCTTCATACACAGTGACTTGGTGTTCCGGATGACGCGCTAATTCATATAAGACAAACGCTATTGCAGTTGCTGTTGCCTCAAATCCAGCTGCATATAAACTGGATGGTTGTGCTACTAAATTATCACCTTTGAATTCTATAATAGATATATGTATAATAATATTAATGTTAATAAATATAATAATAAATCTTAATATTTATCCTCTCGAGAAAATCGAATTAATACACACATGAGAAATATATAAAATTTTATTATAAAATATATAATATATTTTTATTTATTTCATATATTATATTATATATTACATATTTTAGTTGAAAATTGTTATTGCTTGAATTATTCTATAAATTTGATAATCTTTACCGTAAATAGGATTCTGTTCTCCATTTTTGAGCATTAACATAGAATCAGTGAAGTCTTCTCTGTTAAATTCTTTTTTTGTCTGGCATTCATGGATTCCCAGAAAATATTACGAAAATTATTTTTGGTTTTTATAATGAATGGTCCAAGAAGAAAAGCCCACTCGGGAATGAAGAACAGAATAATAAATATTATTGAACTCTTCAAACCTCTAAAGATTGTTTTACCTGTAAATGTGTAATTAAGATGATTCATATATTTCTATATACATGTATTATATACATAATTATATATTTCATAAAATTTATCATTGTATTATGTATTATGTTAATACATTCTTGCTATCGATAATATTTTGCATGTTTAGCATAAATAATAATCTATTATGTTAATATTTTAAAAATTATGTAATAATAGTATTAGTTATGTAATAATTCATATTACTGTTATAATCCAGCTTTTCTGAAAATAGGCAGAAATAAATATATCTTATTCTACATAACTATATAACTATATAACTCATTCTACAATATATTAAATAGATATCTTATTGTTTTTATAATCTTTTAATGTTTTATGTCATTAATAGATATTCAATATATTTTTTTATTACAGAATAAAAAATAATCAATTTAATCCTGTAAATAATTACCAAAAATACTTGCAGAAAATTTTTATTATTTTCTAAAATTAATTGGTAAATTAAACATAAAATCTTACCATTTTCCCAAAAAGCATTTTCTCTTTCCTCGAATGAATTTGTATTTATTCCAAAAAACAAAGAAGCTAAAATGTCACTGACATAACGGCTACTGATATCCCTTATCTCACCTTTACTTTGACCAGTTTCGGTTATTTTTAAATTTTCGATAAATTTGATCATGGGTTTTCCACTCTCTATCATCAGTGGTATCATATTCTTCAGTTTTTGTCCAGTTAAAGTAGGAGTCAATTTGCTCTTCAAATATTTCCATCTGGGCTGTTTTATAGATAGGATACTATCCAGGCCTACAAAATCTCTCTCGTTAAGTGAACCAAATCGCCGATTTGGGAATATCTCAAAATCTTTGATCATTGTTTGCTTAATTAAATCAGAGTTTCTCAAAAGCAGCATGGGCTTGTGAAAAATGTAGAAACCAATGTAAGGATCATTCGAATCGGCGCTATTGTAAATCTCCTGCATTACTTGACCCGGCGCCTTTTTAAAAGTAATGCAGTCTTTGAAATTGCCAAATAGCCAATGCGTCGGAGGAGTTTTAACTCCGCGTCTACTCCAGTAAGACAATTTAGCATAAAGATAAAAAAGACTGACAGATAATATCGTTATATAAATTAAATATTCCATTGCATTAGTATCTGTTAACTTATGTATTTCTTTGATCACCTTGCATCTGCTTCTTCAATCAAGGTTTCTACTACTAACAAACAATTAAAAACTTACAATTAACAAAAACGTAATAAATATAATTTTATCAGTTTATTTTGTAACTATTGAAGATTTTCTGTACTCTGAGAGAGAGAGAGAGAGAGAGAGAGAGAGAGAGAGAGAGAGAGAAAAAGAAATAGAGAAATTATATTTAGTTCTATAATAATTTCTGAGTCTCAGCACAGAAAATTTCAAATAATTATAAAACAAATGCTATTGGCTATGATTTGCCAATGAAATGTGTTACTTGAATTATTTTTACTAAATATCGATTATACAGCGTGAAATCATGTTTAATTAGATATTTGATATCATTAAACAGATATAGATATTATATCACAAAATAATTAATATCTAGAAAATAAGCTTCAATAAACTGAATAAATAAACTGATAAATAAATAAATATTTTATCTTATAAGTAAACTTCAAATAAATCGATAAAATAAATTTTTGTAATGTGATAAAAGAAAATATTTTATACTTAAATTTTCCAAAGAGAGAATTTTAACAAGTGGAAGAGGGAACATATTCATAGGGAACATAGAGGGAATTATTTAGAAGAAGAAGAATCATGACTGAAAAAATGATTATAAGATGAAAAGTGAGTGAGTTTAAAAGATTATTATAATAAGAATGGGTAGGATAGGTGCCTTTGAAGAATTAACAAAAAATAACGAAGAGAATTCAGAGAAAAGGAATAGAGAAAATATCTATATAATATAGAGAAAATATCTATATAATATGAATTGAAATAATGCAGTAAAATAAAATCGAAAATAAGTTTGTTGAGTAGAGTGAATATTTTGAACAAACTGTCCTATTTAATTCCTTAATAATATCTTTGTCCGAAAATAATCAAAACACTAAGCATACGGAGATAACATTTTCTGATAAGATATGTTCTATGTTCTACAGATATTTTATGATTATGGATAAAAAGATCACTATCATATTGTAATATTATTGTGGAAATAGTTTTTTGATTTTTCTTTGATATATATAAGATATAATTATAATTAAGAAAATAATTATGTGAAAATATTATTTTATTTAAAGTATTTTAAACCAGTCAAATATTGAAATTACATGAAAGAAATAGAAGAAATTTTCTTTATGTCACACAACAATTGCGTATAATCTAAAGTATACATATATAATTACAACATGAATTAATAGAATTTATTTGAGTTTTAGATTTAAAAATATAATGCCAGAAAATAGCGTCGGGGCAGCGCGCATTTATAGTGTCTAGTATGAATGAAAAATCATATAATAAATAAAAAAGAACTGTATGATTGTGCTGTTTGACCCTTTTCACGTAAGAAGAAAAATCATATCTTGACAATTTGTCAAAATATCCGTAGCAAATGATTTATTAAGTTCGGTCTTAACCATGTCTCTTCGTACATCAATCACTTATCATCAACGACGTACTGAGAATGAATGGAGGCATCTAATGGCAGATTATTAATTAATTACATCAGCTGTCTGTTATCTTGACTTCCAGCTTCCAGAATTCTTATCTCTTTATTGTTCAATCCCCCTTTATCAAACAATTTCGAAATGCAAGAGATTATCTAAAAGACTGGAATTATATGTTTAAAGACATAAATAGAATAAAAATTGGTTACATACAAAGGTTTGTTGTACTCCGGAGGGGCTACAACGATAATATTAGAGATAGTCGGGTTCGTTAAGCCTAAGGAGTTGGGACTCCGAGCAGGATCAAAAAAATGGAAGGAAATCTTCTTGAAATCACTAACACACTTTCTTTATGTTACTTGGTTTATTTAACAATTGCATAATTTCTTGGATTTAGTATTGCTTATTTTATTTCTTTCATACACGGTTAAACATCGGCGGGCGCGTATCGCATTACTCTGGCGGTCATCGACCGAATATGTCACCTGAGACGCTGATAGTACGGCTCGCGTGAACTTCGCTATGCTCGTGTAATATCTTGCGCAATAATTATAATAACGATTCCGAACGACACGTTATTCTTTACTTTTGACTTTGACTCTTGACTCTTGACTCTTGACTCTGCTGATTCCGTAACTTGTGTAACCGATTAGTCTGATCGATGCCCGATCAGCATTCTGATCGATTGCGTCGATCGGTTGCCGTGATATTGATTAATCAATATTACGCTCGATCATCAAATTTAGGCATTTGCTGATCAGCTTTTTCTCAATGTTCTCGCGATGCATTTCTGCGGTCTTTCGAAAGACTGGTCGCAATTTCGGCGGTCACACATTTGTGTCATCTTTCGAAAGACTTTTCGAGATTCATGCGACCTAATTTTGTTGCCATGCGGACTACTTTTGTTATTGGTTATTATTTTATTATTGGTTGTAGACCTGGCTACAACAGGTTTAAAGAATTAGTTAATTAAAATATATCTTTTAACATCATATATAAAACTGTATGATTTCTGTTTACTATATTCATTAAGTTTCTTTAATAATTCAATGTGAAAGAAAGATATATCTATATAATTAAAAAAATATTATTTATATAATATATAATTAATTATTATTTAATTTAATTATTATATATTATATATATATATATTTATTATTATATAATAATTAAATTATTTATTAATAATTATTATTAAATTTTTATTAATAATTATTATTTAATTTAATTATTATTATATAATTAATTATTATTTATATAATATATAATATATAATATATAATTAAAAATATTATTTTAAACAAAGCATATAAATTATTTAATATCAAACTAATTAATGAAATTCATAATTAGCACAATATCATAATTTTTGTTTTATCGTATTTGTTATTTTATCAATCTATTAAATATATCATATATACATCTGATGTAATTATAATTCTTTATATCGATATTTATCTTCTAAAAGTGCGTATAAACACATAAAAAATATATATATATATATCTTATTTTAATCTAGAATAACATAACATTTTAAAGATCATTAAAATTGGAGAAAGATTTCCATCTGTTTCCTTGTAAGTATAATACGACTTTAGTATTATAATTGTACATAATTGTTCTTCCGCTAAATCGGTAAATTTCTTGCGGATTCATATATTTTAACATCTCGATTGAATAATAATTATTTTCGTGACAGAGATGTGACAGTACACATTTCTGTCACGAGAGTAATTATTATTCAACGATTTCATCCATTTGATTGACGTGATGATATGATATCATTAATTCTTGTGATTTAGCTCATCGAATAGACATAATGTTATATTTATACTTTCTTGTACATATCACTGAAGATGACTCAAATTTGAGTCGAGACGTTTTATAATAAAAAGTTATAAGTTTTTATAATAAAAAGTGTTATGTGTTGCGCACTGTTTACAGATTACTGATTCTTATTTGCCTTGTTTCTTATTTGCATTGTTATAATATTAAGAATCACTCTTGTTAATGTTAAAATAATTTTTTAATTTTGTATTTTTTAATATATTCCCATCATTTAATATTTTTTTTTATTTTTTTATTACGAAATTAAAGATTATTTTAATGTAAATTTAATCATGTATGAGAAAATTTTCCAAAATAACATTTTGAAAAATAATAACAAAATTATCTACACATTCTACTTCTATTCACATTCCATTTTGCACTCTCAAAAAAGTGATCAATCACAAACGCTTGTTTTTCGACTCGTAAGAAAAATAATCGAATGCAATTGATCAATTTTCTTACTGCTTATGTTTTTCTATGTTGCAAGGCTCCCATGCACACTTTCCGCAACCGTAACTATAAGACGTATTATAAAAATTAGCCAATCAGAGCAAAGGGTTCAAAACATTACTTTTTGAACTTTTAGCTCTAATTGGCTAATTTTAAGGTATTTATTATAGTTACAGTTATGAAAAATATGTAGGACAGTTAAAGTCCTAAAACCACCGGCACCATCTGTCGGCACCCTGGCTCACCATTAACTCATCAGAGAGTGTCATTTTCATGTCTTCCGTATCATCGGAAATCGTCTGCCGCGCTAATACGTCTTCGATCCGCTGGATGCGCAGCTCATCAGCTGCCGGTGAATCGCAATTTATCGAAGAATAAATGCGGCGTTCTCATGGTTTCATATCACCGTTCTCGATAATCGTGAGTGCTACAAGCAAATCGCCGAGGTAAGGAAACGTCGATCGATGACGTACACGAACGACGGCTTTTCTCCCTGATATGTCGAAGGTGCATCCGTATTTACGGCAGGATTGTCGACGTTACATTTAGTTTCTCAAAGCGATTCTAATCTGCGGCGCCAACGAACATGGCAGCGATGAATAACGAGACGAAGCTTGACGCAAGTATCATCCGCATCTGTCAAACGTCATCGCGCCTTAGTATCTATTTCGAGAGTTTCCTTAAGTACTCGGAATATACAATTTCATATAAATATGTCATTATCTAACATGTCATGTTTCAATGTTTGATATTTCTATTATATTTATAACAGATGTATGATGATGTCACGTACGCTGTCGATCCTCAACATGTCGAGGGTGAGATGACAGTAGGCACAAAACAAAGATCAACTTTGGGAGAGCCGGAATTTAACACATTAGATGAGCCCATCAAAGATACAATTGTAAATATCTTGAACTTTTTCTGTTCCGAGAAACTTGATATTTATTATAAATGATGGTATGCAGAATCTGACACTGGGATCTGATGATTTTTTGAACTCATAAAAAGTAAAGTGAATAAGGCATAAGTAAGATATAAACATAATTTCTCATTTATTTATCACTCAAGTTATAAAATTCTATAAGTGATAATTCTCATGTCTAATGTGATAGGTTATAGATGAACATGAAATTAAAATAAAGTTTTAAAATATTCTTCGAGAAATAATAGTTTCGAGTTTGGCAACAAACTCAAGAATTATATCAAAATTGAATAACATAAATTGTCATAAATTGTCATAAATTGTCATAAATTGTCATTTTTATAACAAATCTGAAAAAAATCATTAGATTTTACTGTTGGATCCTGCATATTTTTGGTATTTTTATTATATATCTATATTTTGTATGTATAATACAGTTAAGGGATGTTCGAGCAGTAGGCAAAAAAGTTTTTCCATGTTTTATATCCTAAAGAGAAGAAAAGTTTATTGAAAGAATGTGAGTTTATGAATGATCTGTTATTATAAATAAGATAGATCTGGTCATCAATATGTTTATTTTAATATTTTAGGGGATCTATGGGGACCATTAATATTATGTACTTTTATGGCAATGTAAGATATATTTATATAAATATGCAGGAAATATATATATATATATTTATACATTAATTTATTAATTTATTAATTGCTTCTCTTAGGCTATTACAAGGTTCTGCTGATGCAGCAGACTCGAATGATGGAGGGCCTGAATTTGCAGAAGTATTTGTTGTTGTATGGATTGGATCTATGGTTGTCACATTGAATTCAAAACTATTGGGTGGAAATATGTAAATAAGATATGCATACATAAATTTCGGATTACAAATTTGTTCTAATGAGATAATTATGAAATTGCAATTTAAATAATGTATGCAATATAAAAAATTATTTTAATTTACAGATCTTTCTTTCAAAGCGTTTGCGTCCTAGGATATTGCCTATTACCGACTGCCATTGCATTGATTTTATGCAGAATTATACTGATAGTGCAACAAAGTACTCTTCTATTCGTCCTCAGACTCATTATTAGTTCGACTGGATTTTTATGGGCAACATATGGTGAATATTAATTAATTAAAATAAGTTTTTTTCATGATATATATTTTTCAAGACAAATCAACTAAAATATTGTTATATACAAATTTATATTAATATTTTAGCATCTATGGCATTTCTTGGCGATAGTCAACCTGCAGGAAGAAAAGCATTAGCTGTATATCCAATTTTCTTATTTTATTTCGTCATATCATGGCTGGTTATATCCAGTACATATACATAAAACGCAACAATAATAATCAATCTATTACAAGACTGTGCGTTGCTCCGGCCTTCTGTTATAAATTCCAAGAGATAAAAAGAAAACAGAAGGAGATGCAATGTATTTCATATATATTTTCCAAGTCTCGTATTTGGACGTATTCCAATCTCATGTTTTTGTGAATAATACATATTAGGCAAGTATTTATTATCTTTATAGATTATTGTTCAATATGTCAATTATCAGACTTGTAATTATATTTAATCTCACTGAATGCACACGACAGTTACGATGAATTACTGATACAAAAATATTCTTTCCTTCTTTAAAAAACTTAATGATTGATATTTATACAAATTTGATAAATATTTTAGTATGAGTAATGAAAAATTATTTGTAGTTAATTCTAAATTGTTGCATCGGAATATTTCCTATACTTTTATAAATTTTAATGTTTTTTTTTACTAAATCCGATTAATCGTAACATTAAATTTAGACAATGCGAAAGTTTGAAGCATGCTCCCATTTGTATCTTTTTGTACATGTATATTATGTATATAGAGTTATATTTAAAATATGTTATAATAAAACAAAACAGTATAGAATGTAAGAACTCTCTTGTTTATTTCACATATGTGAGAAGTATCTTTGCAGTTTCCGTAGAAGAGTTTTACTATCGTAATGTCCAGGATATGCGTTCAATGATTTTTGTATTGCAATGTAACTCGTCTGCAAATCTCCAACCTGCATCGAACAAATTTGTAATTTATAATACTGTTCGGTATGCATTGAAGTGAATCAAAGATAATTACCTCATAAGCTAAGTGTGCGCTATTAAAGTGCGCCTCGTATACATAACTAGCGATATTAGCTGCTGCATGGAAATATGTTCGCGCTGCGGTAATATTCTCGTTGCGCATTTCTAACACGCCGAGATTGTTGTAAGCTAAAGCGTGTCTATTATCGCTTGCGATGGCTAGCCTCAAACACTCTTCGGCCATTATCAGATCACCTAATGTCTGTAATGCATCCATTTTTTATCTTGCATTTTAAAATAAAATTGGCTGTACGTACAATAGCGATATGGGAAATGTTGTACCACACGTCAGCTACATTCTCGTCAGTTGCGAGACTTAATGCTCTTTCGAAGCATGATATCGTATGATCATATTGCTGAGCATAGAAGCAACAAAGTCCGAGATTGTTGAACAATTCGGCGTTATGTACACCCATTTGTAAGAGGCGTCTAGAAGATTTATCGAAATTTACTATTATTTATAAATAAAGCACTGAAAATACAAATGGATTTAATCACAGGATAAGTTC